GGGAAAAATTGGCTAAAGAAGTAGCCTTGGGTCGTATGGCGGGCCCCTTTCGGGAACCTCCACTCACCGATTTGAGGGTTTCACCACCAGGTGTGGTGCCTAAAAGGGAACCAGGCAAATTTAGGCTGATTCACCATTTATGGCACCCACAGGGGGGCTCGGTGAATGATGACATTGCCGCTGAATTGTGCCGCGTTTCCTACGCGTCCTTTGACGCGGCGGTGGATATGGTCAGGGCTGCTGGCCCCGGGGCACTTATGGCAAAAACTGACATTGAGTCGGCTTTTCGCCTCCTACCGGTTCACCCGGAGTGTCACCACCTCCTGGGTTGTATATTCGAAGGTCATTATTATGTGGATATGTGCCTCCCGATGGGTTGTGCGATATCCTGTTTTTATTTCGAATGTTTCAGTTCCTTCATGGAATGGGTAGTTAGAGCGGAATCCGGTTACGATTCCTTGCTTCACTACCTAGACGATTTTTTATGCGTTGGCCCTGCGCGCTCCCCAATATGCGCGCAACTTCTGCAAGCAGTGGCGGATGTTGCTTGCAAGTTCGGAGTGCCGCTGGCGCCAGACAAAACAATTGGCCCTTCCACATGCCTGTGCTTTCTCGGGATCGAGATTGATTCCGTTGTTGGGGAATGTCGGCTTCCATTGGATAAATTGTCTGATCTTCGGGAGGTGGTGCGAGTGGCGAGCGCTTTGCGAAAGATTACGTTGCAGCGACTTCAATCCCTGTTGGGCAAATTGAACTTTGCCTGTCGGATTATGCCAATGGGCAGAGTGTTCAACCGGCGCCTGGCGGCCGCCACGGCTGGGATTTTGAGGCCGTCTCACTTCGTTCGCTTGACCAAAGCGCTCAGGGAGGACTTGGCAGTATGGGCAGCCTTTCTGGATGGGTATAACGGCAGGTCCTACTGGCAGCAGCCCGAGGTGACGAACTCGGTGCTACACCTGTTTACGGATGCCGCAGGGTCTTTGGGCTTTGGGGCTATTATGGGAAAGCAATGGTGTGCAGAGCCGTGGCCCGAATCGTGGTTCACCGCTGGCCTGACCAAGAACATGGCTTTCTTGGAACTCTTCCCCATTGTAGTGGCTATCCATCTTTGGGGGCCAGAGATCAAGAACAGGCGTGTTGTGTTCCACTGTGACAACCTGGGCGTTGTCCAGGCCATTAATAGGTTAACGGCCTCCTCCCCTCCGTTGGTTCGGCTCTTGCGGCGCTTGGTTTTACAATGCCTGTCTTTTAATGTGACTTGCCGCGCTGTGCATATCCCTGGTGTGGAGAATATCACGGCTGATGCTCTTTCTCGTTTCCACTGGCAGGTGTTTCGTTTGGCCGCGCCGGAAGCAGATACGGAAGGCCTCCCCTGTCCCAGAGAGTTATGGTCCCTTGGCCTGATCGAATAAGGGAATGGATTCGGTCTTCGGTGTCTGAGGCAACTTGGGTTCGGTACGGTAAGGCATGGGGGGACTGGGTCGCTTTAGAACAGGACCTAGGTGGGTTCGCTTCGACTTCCGCAAGGGTTCAAGCGTTGTTGCGGTTGCTCTGGTTGTGGGAGGCTAGCGGGTGTTCTCCGGCTACGGTCTCAGGGTGTCACGTTCTGTTCCTCGCTGCGGATCATTCTGCATTGGTTCTGGTATCCAGTACTCTTTTTGCTTTCCTTGCTTGGTTTTTCTGGTTTTCTGGTCTATGTCTGGTTTTCTTTGTTGCTGGGATTTCTGGGTTCATTTCTGTAATCCATGCCTGGGATTCCCAGTCTCCAGGTTTCCTTTAAATGTTTGTTTTATGTGCCACACCCGTTTGTTTCCACTTACCCTTTTGTTTCAGCTTGGACCTGCAGCAGTATTTCATCTCTTTGCCCTTTCTTGCAGGTAAGTGCTATTGTGGTATAGTGTGGTTGTTTTAGTTTGCATTAGGCAGTGTAGGACCTGCCAGATATGGGGTACATTGGCGTTGTTGGCAGGCTTATGCAATGTATGATCATATAATGTAACTAAATCCCCATGCTTTTCATAATTAGTGCTTAGCTATGTTTCCTCTTGTTTTACCTTGTATCTCTTGTCTTGGTTTGTATACCCAGCCCATGTACAGTCCTGTCCAGTCATGCCCATGTTATGTTCATGTTTACCTCATGTCTTGTGTATATGTTCTGGGTTTAGCTTCCTATCCTTCTCTGGTTCTGGGTTCTATTAGTTCTGTCTTGTTTTCATGTTTGGTGCCTATCTTTAGTCTTGCCTTGTTTCTAGTACTGGATACAATCCTGCTGCAGAGCCTCCCTATTAAGCTCCTGGGAGGTCTGCTTAATTTCCAAGTTCCTAGTTCCTGTTATCTGCATAGGCTGAATCAGGGTCTTGGTATGTGGCTGCACAAACGCTGGTGCTCAACACCAGGGGGCGTGCGGTTACCCTGCACCAGACCCTGCTAATCCACCTCCACGCTGAAGACTCCCACTTATCATCAGGCATATTGGGTCCCGGTCCACGCGCCGCCGCCTGGACACTGTGTCTGGGTTCCGGGCACCGGACCGCCACCCGTGACACAGGGAAGCTATCGGGTCTTAGTTTCTGGTTCAATTTGACTAAGGTGCCCAACGTTACCAAGGACTGCATGGTTCGGCTTGCGATGCGCGGCTGGCGGAAGGGCCCACACGTTCGGGATTCTTGGAGGCCGGTCTCTGGCGCTCTGCTGGTTGGCATTGCGTTGATCTTACCCAGGGTTTGTTTTTCCGATTTGGAGGCAAGCCTGTTCCAGGTGGCTTTTACTTTCGCCTTTTTTGGCGATCTTCGGATCGGCGAGCTTGTAAGCCCTAGCAGACGGATCCCAGGGGGCTTGTTGTTCAACGATGTGTCTGTTGGGTCGAATTCGGTGCGTTTCTTGGTGCGGAGGTCCAAAACCGACATCTTCGGTAGGGGGACATGGGTTACCCTCCGCGCCATTCCTGGTTCGGCTGTCTGCCCTGTAGCATTTTTTCAGTCTTATTGTCTGGGTCGCCCGGGCGTTGAGGGCCCTCTATTAATTCACGGGGATGGTTCCTTCCTTTCTCGCTTCCAATTTCTCCGGGTCTTTCGGCTGGCACTCGACTATCTGGGTATTTCGAGTGAAGACTTTGGGGGACATTCGTTTCGGATTGGGGCCGCAACTGAAGCCTCCCGTTTAGGTTTTTCGGATCAGGCCATTCAGAGGATTGGCAGATGGGAATCGGGGAGGTTTCGGTCCTATGTACGGCCCACACGTCTGATCGGTTTCCCCCTTGTGTTTTCTCCACAGGGCCCGGCCAACGGATCTGGCTGATCGGTCATTCTTACATCTACTGGGCTCACCTGCGGGCAGGGGTACGCCTGGGTGGGACACGGCTCGGAATACCTCGGGAGCTGGCGGAGGTCCGATGGTTCGGGTTCCGGGGCATGAGATGGGGTCAGCTATTGCCTGAGGTCGTGCAGTTATCCACTTTATTAGGAGCACCGGATGTCTTGTTGGTGCATCTGGGGGGAAACGATTTGGGGTCGCTGCCTGCGTGGGGCCTGGGGGAACTAATCAAGCGAGATTTTGCGCGCTTGCGTGTGCTTTTTCCACAACTTTGCTTAGTCTGGTCGGATATCGTTTCCAGGAATTATTGGCAGTGCGCACGCGATCAGGGTGCTATGGAGCGCTGCAGGGTGAAAATTAATAAGCGGGTTCCCAAATTTGTACTCGGCATCGGGGGCTTGACAGTGCGACACCGTATTTTTGAGCGTGAGGCAGCAATCTATTTTCGCCCGGACGGGGTCCATCTCACTGATGTTGGCTTGGACTTATTTAATTTAGCGCTACAGGACGCGTTGGAGCAGGCCATGGCGTTGCTTGGGGGTCGCGCCCGCTGATTTAGGCGTAAATGCAGCTGGGGGTGGCGGGTATGGTCCTTGCCGAACCTATTGGGAAGAGGAGTACAGGAAAAGAAAGATGCTGGGTCGGGTCCCTCCCCTGACCTCGGAAAATGTTTGGGTATTTGGGCGTGCCTTCCGTGCCAGGAAAGGTGGCCAGGGGTGGAATTGGAAGGCCAAAGTGAAGGCCAGGTATCTTGGACGAGGGGGGAGGGCCAATGCCTTGGTGGTGGGGTGTACCCTAGAGGTTTGGTGGTACGGTTGGCAAGGACTAGGCATACTACACCTGGAAGTTATTTATGGTTGGTTTATTTACATTTGTTCGTTAATTTATAAATAAAGCTGTGGCCTTTTTTATACCACATATACGTTTCCTAGTTTGATTGGGGGGTGGGTGAATGGATTTGGGGAATTGGTATGGTTCACAACACACGGTAACCGCTGCCTACACACAAGTTCAGTGTCTGCATGCAGTGGGAGGAGATACTGAATCACAGGATGCTCGTGCACAGCAGATCTGCCTCCATCAACTCAGAAGTCCCTCTGGTTCATTCTGAGTGACTGCAACTGGAGGTGTTCCTAGCTTTCAATGTAAATACTGTATTTTCTCAGAAAATACAGTGTTTACATAAGAAAGGCTGCAGGGAGCTATTGTTCTCACCTGAACAACCTCATTAAGCTGAAGTTGTTCAGGTGACTATAGTGTCCCTTTAATTAGAATACACATTTTAGAATGAAATATAAACACACTCTCTAATGTGAGTTGTGCTTTTCAAAAACTACTGCAAAGCTGGACAAATGCAAAGTATGGTTGGGATAGGATTTAAAAAAAAGTGATGGCTATGTGTGCTTATTCTTTAGGTACCTATATATTTTAATCTGTAAGAAAGTTAACATTCTATGGCTGATATGTTCACTGTATAATAAGATTCTAGAAAATAATCTTAGCTGGGAGATGTCAACACACAGAACAAACATTTTATCCAGTTATCACTGAAGATGGAGATTAGACATATTCTTGGCTGGTATTCGGCTGTTTAGTCAGTGTGGTCGCATTCATTGGCCGGGGGAGACGATGGATAGTTTTTGGGAGAGTTGAGTATCTGATGAGGGGTTACCAAACTTTGGGGAAATCTATAACATTAACATACAGTCCAGTTGGTAGTTCTTTGGCTCATGTTCATTGCGGCTGACGACGCATGCAATCTTGTCTCCCTGATGGGGGACAAACTCGGCGTACTTTGTCATTCCGAGTCTATCTTGCTGGGAGCTCGTGTCAGCCTGAGCCTCATGGGAGTTGGCAATCTCCACACCATTCATGGTCAGTTTGGCGGACATGGACTGAGGATGGAATTCATTCAGGTGACAGATTAATGTGTTTTTCTCGCCAGTATGCACTGGTCTTTCGGTGTAGACATGCACCTTCAGGTTCCTTATATTGGTAGGATGACTCCAGGATAGGGAGACTCCCAGCAGCACGACTGAGGTCACAACAACCAGGAGCTTCATTTTCTCTCACCTGCAGATTGATCTCACCTTGTCTACAACTCGGATAACAACTGCCGATCTCACGCTCCATTCAGGAAAGGATTGCTCTGTTTATGCTATAGGGAGGGGACGATGGTGCGGCTGCCTCGGGCGCAACAAAGCGGAGATGTCGGCAAAATATTAAATATTATTTGCGTGCATGGCCAATGACTTGTCACAGGTGGGACAAGGAGGCGCCTGGCCATTATAGGATGCCCCCCGAACCGGCACTTATTCCCTAACTAATGCATAGTAGGCACCTGCTTGAATGGCACGTGTCTACTCTGCCGAAATGGGGGGAGCAGCGGGGTCTGTGTGTTTCTGTCTGGGATCATGTCTGTCATTGTGTGTATGTGTGTGTCTGTCAGTGAGTGTTTCTGTCTGGGGTCATGTCTGTCATTGTGTGTATGTGTGTGTCTGTCAGTGAGTGTTTCTGTCAGGAATTGTGTCTGTCATTTTGTGTATAGGTCTGTCAGTGTGTTTCAAATCGATGGGGTTGTGTGTCTGTCATTGAGAGAGAGTGTGTGTGAGTGTATTTATCAGTGAGTGTGTCTGTCAGTGTCTGTATGTATCTGTGTATGTGCAGTGGTGTATCCTGGTTTTGTGCTGCCCTAGGCAGGACAAAACTCAGGCGCCCCCCTAACCCCCTGCGCAACCCCCACCCAACCCTTCCCCCCGCCCCGCCTTCTAAACACACACACACATTCAATGACAGATACGCATACACTAGCTAACATAAATAAACACTCGCTAACAGACACACACTCACTCACTGACACACACACACACTCACTCACTAGCAGACACACACAGACACTCACTAACAGACACAGATACACACACACTCACTAACAGATACACACACACAGTCAGGCACACAGTAACAGACACACACACTAACATACATACACTCACTCACTAACAGACACACACTCACTATCAGACACACTCACTATCAGACACACACTCACTCACTAACAGATACACATTAACAGACACACACACTAAGAGACAAACACACACACTAAGAGACAAACACACACACTAACAGATACACACACACTCACTAACAGACACACACACAGACACACACACTAACAGACACACACACACTCACTAACAGATACACACACACAGTCAGGCACACACTAACAGACACACACTCACTCACTGACACACACTCACTATCAGACACACACACACTCACTAACAGATACACACTAACAGACACACACACACTCACTAACAGATACACACTAACAGACACACACACTCACTAGCAGACACACACACACACACACTAACAGATACACACTCACTAACAGACACACACACACCCACTAACAGATACACACACACAGTCAGGAACACACTAACAGACACACACTCACTCACTCACTAACAGACACACACTCACTATCAGACACTCACTAACAGATACACACTAACAGACACACACACTCACTAGCAGACACACACACACACACTAACAGACAAACACACTAACAGATACACACACACTGACAAACACACACTAACAGACAAACACACTAACAGATAAACACACACACACTAACAGACACACACACTAACAGACATGCACACACACACATTCACATTAACACATTTTATTTTTATTTAACCCCCTTACCTTTGGGAATGCTGGGGGGGTTCTCTTTCTCCCTGGGGGTCCAGTGGCTGACATCATATTCCGGCTCCCGGCCTCACTCTGCGGCGCGCGAGGGAAATGAGCAGACAGCTCAGAGGAAGTGCTCCCTCGCCAGCCGCCCGCCATCGCCCCCCGACCGCCCAGCAGCCAGCCCATCAGCCCGACCGGCATGTCAGTTAGCCGCAAGGCTAACAAGACATTTGCCCTGGGCATTTGGGGGCGGCTTTTTTTGCCGCCCCCTGGAAAATGCCGCCCAAGGCAAATGCCTTGTTTGCCTCACTGCTAAAACGTCCCAGTGTATATGTCAGTGTTTATCTTTGTACGTATGAGTTAGTGTGTATTTGTGTGTATGAGCCAGTGTGTGTATCTCTACTTGTTTCAGAGTTCAGCGTTTGATTACTTGATGGCATCCAGCAATCAAACGCCAACTGCACATATAAACACATTTAAACACAAACACTAGAAATAAGAACACTGCTGCTTTCAAATAGCAACAGTACATACAAATATACAACTGCACTCAAATGCCAACAGGCTTGCGTGCTGTGCGGAGCGTTTCCATGGTAACCCGTGGCAACACTCTGGCGGCCGCAGGGTGTAGGGAAGTTAGACAGAGAGCAGCTGGAAAGGAGGACAGAGTGTGCTGCTGGGCCACTCTCTGCAATGTACAGGTAGCCCTCTGTGCACATATATATAGCGAAATTTGCTATATATATATATATATATATATATGTGCACATAAGGAATGTGGGTCTCGGACTGCCAGAATAGTTCGGGCCGCCCAGGACCACCGGGCACATGACAACCGTTATGGTTGTCATGCCCTGATGGCGGTCTTGCTGCGGAGTCCATACACACACACACAGACTGCTGAGTCCATACACACACAGACTGCTGAGTCCATACACACACACACACACACACACAGACTGCTGAGTCCATACACACACACAGACTGCTGAGTCCATACACACACACACACACAGACTGCTGAGTCCACACACACACACACACACACACACACAGACTGCTGAGTCCATACACACACAGACACACACACAGACAAAATTTTGTTCTGTGCCAGGCGATCTTAACTATGGTTACGGTCTGGTATGCGCTCTTAGATTTGACCTATATTTGAGCTGCTCTTTGACCTCTTTTGAAAGTCTTCTGGGGGACTCATAAGATACTTCTGCACACCTCGAGTCATGCCTCCTTATAACTCTTTAAAAGAATGAAGTAACATTGCAACATTACTCTGACTCATAACATAAATCGCCTTACTCTTGAAACAAATACACATGTTTAACAAAGAATGGATATTATGCAAATGGATTAAGGGTGTAGTAGGCCCTCCTGCAGATTCACTGTAGCGATTGTTTCAAAATAAGTCAGATACATTTTTTTTCTAGAAAACATCAGTTAAACCACAAAATAAATACATTAGCAGACTTTCAAAATGGCACTGCCAACTGGAGTGTTCAAGATATTCATCAATGTTTAAGCAACATTGTAATGGCTCCACATTCATAAGAGTATAGTTTCATTAAAGCGCTGTTAACTGTATAGACCAGTGGTTCCCAAACTTTTTAGGTTCAAGGCGCCCTTAATATTTCAATATTTTTCCAAGGCACCCAATCCACGCACAATAACCAATACATTACATTGTAGTGGTTATGGTGCCAGTAGTGCCCTCCCAGGATAAGTAGTCAAACTTATAGTACAGCACCTTTTTAGTAAAGATAGATTTTGCGTTCAAGAGTGGTACATGCAGGCTTAAAGACATTTTAGAAGATTATCATGAATACGAGCGTGTAACTATCAGATGTCATAAGAGAAACATTGAACTTATTATGATACTGAACCTGCTAGGGACATAAGAAATCTCTGACTGCAGAACATCACTAACTAGTGAACGTATAGATATTATACTAACGTGGTGAGTAGAAGGTCAGTCGTTATCTATGACTAAAGGAGCCACCATAATAACAGGGAGGCCGGTTTCATGCCAGGAAGAGTTGGGATCAGGGTGTGGAGATGCACATTATAGGTTCTGCAACCATGTGAGATCCATCCCTTATGCCCCCTAGGTAAGCTTAGGCATGAGTCCCTCATTGTGTAAAAGAAAAAAAAGAAAAATTTAAGTAAAGGTAAAAATGGAGCGCAGGAGGAGGTAGGCTGAACGGTTACTATGCTTTGCGCTCTGTGTAAGAAACTTGGGTGCATTGTTGAGGGGCCATGTGTAAGATGGTGGTTCCTGTGTTCAGTCTCTCGTTCAGCCAATGCCCCACCGGGGTGCTCCACAGTCCTGCAGGAGAGTCTCATCCACTCATCCGTTCTCAGTTCTCAGTCCTGAGAGTCCCGTCGGTTGGCTTATCAGGTAGTGATCCGAGCTGCATGTCGGTGTGGTTTGGAACCAGGCTGGAGAAGAGTGTAGGTTCTTCCTCTTTTCTGTGCCCAGCTGTGTGTTGGAGGTGGGCTTGGATGGCACTTGCTGTGTATTGCGCGGGCTAGTAGCCACGATCGGGTGTAGTCCCCACACGGTGTTATGAGGATGCAGGGTGCAGCGGGTCTCCGGCCCTTTAAGAGTCCATGCCTTGGCTCGGGATGATTTCTGCTTATATTGTGCCCGCTGTTTGCGGGATGGGAGACTCCTGCTTCGCCACCATCTTGGGGCCTTCGTCCCCGCCGGGGCCGTGGGTGTCCGTTGCTGTGGCGTTAGCAGATGTGGGGGTGAGTGTACTTGCCACTGCGCTGGTTCGGTCTGATGCCGCATTTCCTCCAGCTTCTGCCAGAAAGCTTCCAGGATTTTATCAAGCTTGTACATCAGGTCAGTCTGTTTTTGCGGCGGAGTCAGGATACCACGTGGCGGTCGCCATGTTTGAAGGGTCGCTTGCTGACTCCGCTTCTCCCCCTGTTCCCATGGGGCTTGAGGGGCCTCCCAGGTGTGGGCCAGGATCACCCCCGCCGGTCCAGATGGTGGGGCAATGGGGCACCAGCTTTGTGGTGTGGGCCTTGAGCTGCACCGGCCTGGGAGATCGCCCACCTCTCTCTAGGCCGCATGTTCCAGGATTCGCCACAACGGAGTTGCTGTCGAGTTTCCAACCTCCACCTGGTACTGTAGCCCGGTCAGGAGGTGTGTTAGTCGCTTCGTAGGTTTTGAACAAAAAAGTAAATCTATACTGTATAAAATACTAGTATAGATTAAAGGGGTAGCACAAAAAATATATACAACCTGTAGATAATACAAGAAACTTCCTTCACAAGATCTAAAATATAAGAAAAATCACACAATAGTGAAGCATGAACAGTC